CTCCCCAATAGACTCCTTTTGCTTTCTTTTGGTCACTTCATGGGTTAGTCCCACCGTGACATAGTCCAAAGTAAGGTCTTTCCTTGAAATGGACTCCAATGCCACAATGAGGGAGGAATAGGAGTCCGAAAGGCTTGAGAGCAATATCATCACAACATCTTCTTCAAGTAAAGGCTTGTCAACAACAACAAGTTGGTTTGCAAGTGCTTTTACCTTATTCACATGAGCCATGAGATCTTCACCTTCTTCCATCTTCACGATGAAGAATTTTTGCCTTGACCATAGCATATTGGAGAGATTCCTACTTTCATAGACATTGTAAAGAGTCTTCCATGCATCTGCTGCCCCTTTGCAAGAAATGACATGAACAAAGTTGCTTTCATCTAAATTGGTGGCAATTATGCCAAAAGCCTTCTTCTCTCGTCTTTTGAAGTCCTTTTGCTCCTTGATGCTTGCCTCTACCCCAGGTGTAAGTTCCTCCTCATCTACTATCTTCCAAAGATCCAATGACGCCAAAAATAGCTCCATTTTGGCCTTCCAGTGGTGAAAGTGGTCACTTCTAAACTTTTCAACAACTCTTAAGCCATCACCCTCAACAGATGCCATCTCAAGCTACAAGTAGGTCCAAAAAACTCTTGATTTGGAGTTGTAATGCAAAAGATATGACTACTTAAAGATTGCTGAAATACAAATCCAGAATTCGCTGTTTTGCAACTTTTTGCATATTTTGAGTCCAAATTACGTCTAAATGGTGGGGAATGGTTTGTAATGTGATTTTATGACTTTCAAACGTCTCTCTCACGTCACTTCAGTCAAAATGACTGACTTTCTCATAAAACTCTCAAATATTAGTGCTCCTTCAGCAAAGACACTATCAAGGTCTTGCACTAAGCTGATACACTCACAAATCCAGGAGCAATGACTTCAAAAATTTACTAGCAACACTCTACCATAAGATCTCAACCACCAAAACAAGCAACAAAGAAATAATGCAAGAACAACTTACTTGGTAAGAGAATGTGGGCCCATAACTTATTGAAACATAGAAAGCATACTCAACACAAGTAAGTTAGGACCGGCAAGGTTGCACTTTAACAAATAGAGTGTGGTATGAAATAATTCTTCCCATGCTAACCCTTTTCTTATATATTAGTACCAAGGTAGCAAGTGCTACAACCATTATGAGATATCTCCTAGGACCAGACCTTCCCTTGTACTCTAATGCACTATAGACCAGCACCTAACATTATGGGATATTCTTAACAATACTTGTATTCTATTGACCATTAGCAACTATTGAAAGAGTTCTTTCCTTCAACTATATATACATACAAATTCAAAAATATAGTTGCTTATTTAGTTACTAGATTTTAGTAATATTCCATCAACAAAGCAATGTAAGAAAAAACCACGTACTTCCTTAAAGAAGGTTTCATTGAATCATTTATCATCTTATCATGATGATGATCCAACAATATTTGTACTTCTTGGCTAATATCATGTTATCATGTTTGTATGCTACTAGGCTAAATTTGAATTTAGTTAAGTGGTAATTTGGGGTGTTACTAGAAATTTTTGAGGCATCCAATGACTAATACCAATAATGATTCTAGAACACCTTTGATTGTAGATCTTCTATAATCACAAACCATATCTGAGATGTGAAGCTTCAGAATCTGTAGAATTACAGTTGTAAGAAATACTAAAAGATGTTATTGCTCATTAGTACAAAAAAAATTGGTTGTAAGAGATATGACTTTACCAACAGATTATTTTATTTATTTTATTTTATGTTATCATAGAATGAAATATTTTGAGAATCTTGCAATACAATTAAATAATGTTGTGTTATTATTTTTATTTTTTATTTTTTTATGTAAACAACCAAGAATAAGATATCTAAATTATTATATCACAATATTTTAAAGAAAGTGAGAAGTTTAAACAAGATTTTTAGATATAATGTGGTCTGATTATAGGAGAAATGATGGTTGTTAGGACAATAGAGTCAAAAGGATTTAAAGAAACTAATTTAAAGGATTGTAGTATAAAGAAGGTTCTTAACATGGTGTTAAATTAGAATATTTTAAAGAATCAAAATCAAAATATCAATTTGAAGTATTTTACAATACATACTAGATTGAGTAGGAATGCAAGGATAGTTCATGTATTCTTTTGGTTGTATGATTGTGTAAGTAAGTTGTATAAGTGTTGGGATCAAACTTATGAGTGCAAGAGAGAACAAATTTAACGAGATATGAAAATAAGAGCTCTGATGGCAAAAACGGATAATCAATGACCAGATTAGTATAGGTGTAGATACATTAACCAACTGGGAGATAGGAGTGCCATGACAAAGTAGATTTGGAATAACAATAAAGAAGATGTGGGATCAAAGACGAATTGGCTTGCAAGGCAATAATGCAAGAAAGAGGCATATTAAAGAAAAAGAGCAGCAATGTGATGGAGTGGAGCTACATTGAAGAGACTCAATTGTGATATCTTCTTATGTTGTTCAATACTAGTTGATGAGCTAACATAGGTGAGACCAAATTAAGTAATAGCAAAAAATAAGAATGTGATGAAAGTCATGTTTATGATAAATCTATTGTAGAATAGATGTTTTGCTTATAGCAAGTGAGAGTTGTACTAGAAGTAATCAAAACTATAATTTTTAAAATGGATAATAAATTTTTTGGTGTTTGCATATTAAAGTTAGATTCTTCTTTTATTTATGCAATAGCACAAAACTTAAAAGCAATCATTTTTTATATTAAAAATATATTTACTTTAGTCTTTAAGATCTAAAGAAGTATAATGATAAGCCAATTTATATCAAATTTAAAGAATTATTATTATTATTATTATTATTATTAGATGATCTTATAGAATTAATTCATTACAAAAAATTAGCATATAATATTTTTATTGGGGATTTTTGATAGCAAATTTGACTAAGCTTTTAAACAAAAAAAATGATTAAGCAATAGTTTTGTCTTTATAAAATATATTTTTAATAACTAGATATAAAACATATAAAGATTAATCATAAAAATAATTAATTAAAATAATAAATAAGATTAATATCTAATATTTATATTTAAAGTAATAGAATTTGTAGTCATCTAAGTTTCAAAATGTAAGATATATAATTAAGTATGGTCAATTTTTAATAAAGCTTTATTTCAATAGAGGTTTTTTTATTATTATTTTTTATTATTATTATGGTTATTATTATAGACTTAAATTACCTATAATCAGTAAACTTTGTTGAACCATTCAATATTAAATCATGTGGAGCAAAGTATGTATATATAATGATGATGACTTTTAGGAATTAAATAGAACTTGTAGCTTTGTAGAAAAATTCATCTAAGTTGGCTATGTTAACATTCGTAGATTATAAATTAATACGCTTTAAAGTACTAAGTAAGGTATTGAAAAATCAAAGTAATAAGTTTTTTGATACTTTTGAAGAATATTTTACCAAATTTTTAATTAATTACAAAACTCTTTTTAATGAATATATAAAAATGGTAGTTCAGTTGAAGAAAGTCTTTAAATAATAGAATTCAAATTATAAAAATTAAGTTTGTTTGTGGCAATCATTGTTACTTGGACTTAATATTACAATACATTGGTATAAGATACCAATGTAATAGACATGTGGTTCTGACATCTTATAGTCCAAATTATTTGATAAATGAATAAGAGTCCATTTTATCCAACTTAATATCCAATAAACTAGCTCTCATTATAGATTTAGATGAAAAAATATGTTTAAACTCAATAATTATAGGAGCAAGAAAAATTCTTTGAATGTTCTTTGCCTACAATGATAAAAATTTGAATATTATATAATATTATAATATTTTAAGTAAAATTATTAACCTTAATTTTGGATTTAATTTAAAAAATATTATATTTACATTCCAAGTAAAGATCTTACAAAACTTGATGTATAGATAAGCCACATGATTCTTTAAGTAAAGAAAGTGCTATCTAATAATATCTTGTTATTTAAAGACAAAGTAATACTTACTTATTGGATAAATTTAATTTAATAAGATGTTTGTTAGTATTCTAAAAATAATTTAAAATATTACTAGTTCTTTTAGTATAACACAAATTATTTTTTTAAAAAAAGTGATTCTTAATAATTTACTAGTATAAGGAGAAGAATAAAATAGATTAATTTATAAAGAAATAGAATAAAAATAAAAAAAGACAAGAATGAAGTAATTTTATAGTTATAAAAAAAATTGGGATTTCAAATTAGAGATTTTAAAATATCAAATGGAAACATTTAGGGTATTAATAAAAAAATATAAGGTAATAAATAAAACATTTCAACACATCAATTAGAAGATTTTAGAATACTTTTCAGATGCTTATAGGTTAAAAATGTAGATATCTGTATAGTATTAATATAATATAATTATTTATTTTAGAATATAAGTAAAAGTATCAATTTTAAAACAAAAATTCAAAGAAAATAGCCAAAATAAATAGGATTTCTTATAAAATTTAAAGATATATATATATATATATATATATATATATATGTTTTAATTAGAAGTATATTTTCTTTTCATTGGCAATATATATTTTCTTTTCAAAGTTACAACACGTACAATTATATATATTTTAATTACAACACATGTGTGGTATGCATTTTGCAGTAGAAAAAAACTTGTAAGCTCCAATTAAAATCTCCTGAAATCTCTTAGAAACCTTCAAAAAACTCATCAAATTCTGAAAAATGCTGCACATTTTCTTAAGTCTAATTATGAACTTCATAAGATATCAACTTGCATTCACATGACATTCAACATTTCTGAAAAAAAAAAAAAAATCGATTTCCTTAATGTATTTCATTACAGCTAAAACATACATGTAAATTGAAAAATATTAACAATTCATATTTAAATGATTTTAAAATAACTAAAAAAAACACAAGCATGCCAAATACATAGTGAAGCTAGGTGCCTGTACCGATGAACGCCAAAGCTCCAAAATAAAATGCTTCCAACGGAACCTTTAACAAGAAGCAATTCTTCATTTACATCTTCAAAAGTTCTAAAAATAGAGCAACTCCTCCGAGCCACTTCAACAAACTCAGGGCAGAACATACGGTAACTCATCAATCCACGTAAATGGACTAGCTCCACAGCAACTCAGGGTCGCTTGTGGCATAAATTCAACGAATAGTTCGCTAAACACATCCTCTACAACATAAAAATTGACAACTCCTCGTAGGCGAGGCCTCCAACCGGAAGCCTCACATGGTAGCCTTTCATGGATCCCGCACCTGAGATATCGGTAGAAACAGGTTCCGTGGCAATCCCTCCGCCGTCTCGCGCTGCCAAAAACGTGACTTCATCATTTTCGATAAATTTTCAAAAAAATCGCAAGAAATTCACGACCAAAGTACAGTCATGTGTTTCCCACATGTGCACCATTCTGATTTCCCCCACAATAGACACTCGGACATCCTCGACTGATAATCTGATGTATCCTCGCCCCCTCAAATGGCACTTTCTTTGCGTCTCAACATTCGCGTGAGAGATCCCTGCGACAGCGGAGGAAGTTGGAAAACTTCCCAATTTCGCTCGCATCTCTTCACAAACCTTTTCATCAACTCCCGAACCCAACTAGCATGGTCTAATTTAGTAACCGCGCTTAGATACCAAGACATTTCCTCTCATGTCCTCGTTGCTTTTCACGGATGTGACGATCATTGATTAGGAAAAAAATGAGCTATTGCGGAGCAATGATTGCTCCTATCAGACGGAAACACAAAACACATGGGCTACTTCACGCGGCAACCAGACTTGAGCAAGGCAACTCGCGAATACCTCAGTAAACCTCGACGTGCCACTGCTTGTTCTTCTTGAGCTTGGCAAGCTTCTCATCCCATTTCTCTCCTCTAGATTCCGCCACTCTCTGCAGGGTGACCTGAAATCCGGGCATCATGCCCCTCAGTCCACAAAAGTAGATGTGTGCGCCCGTGTCGAGCAAGTTGAACAGCTCCTCGCTGTAATCCTCGATCTTGTCCTGGACGTACATCATGTTATAAATAGAGATTGATTTCAAAAGATAATATTAGTGTTACAGATTGCTGGTTATATCGTGACTCCGAATGTCCTGTGCGGTAGTGGATCTAAATTGTTTTTACGGTGCGGTTAGGCCTTCGTAACAGGGAGACTGCGAATTGACTGTGTTCGTTTACATCCAGAGCTGGATGATACATGAGAGAAGAAGTGCGTCGTTCATTTCCAACAGAGACAAGTCGGATAATTCCAACACCCCCTCGCGACTTGATGGGGGAATCCTATGGAGGTCATCAGTTTAAAAGAAGAGTGAGAATGCAAAGGGAGAAAATTAATCACAATGGCGAGAGAGAGGAAGGTAGTAGGAATAGAAAAAGGGACTGCTTGAAATCGATGCTGGAAGTAACAGTCGTAGTAATACGCAGCCTGAGTGAGGCACTAGAAGGTGTCTCAATTCGTTGACAGAGGAAGGGGAGTTGAGGCCCGTGAATGAGCAGTCAGAAATCCCTGAAGCAGTCAATCAATTTCATACATTCGTTGAAGAGTAGCGATTGCCTGAGGAACAGCGACCACCCAAGATACACGAGGCAGTATGGAGTGGAGAAAGTATGTTTGCTCCAGAAATTTTCCAGCGTGGTAGATTTTATGCTGTTGCAATCGGTGTGCGCCCGGGAATCTATGAAACACCGTTGTTTGCCCGAAGAATTGCATAGATTGGAAACATGTATCTTGTGCTCAGGCTGCAGCTTGAAGCGGTTGTAATTCCCCGATTTCGGGATAGGTCGCAATCATGAAGAAAGGGGAGATGAGCATCCCGAAGATCAGATGTAATAGTAGAGTCTGAGGTATGGAGAGAAGCTGGAGAACCAACGAGGCTAAGTTAAGAGAGAAGTCGATGAAGATATTCAGCTTCTTTAGCCCCGTCGTTGATGTTAAAGTAAAAGTAGAATAAGTTACCTTATAGAGGATATTAACTTAGGTAAGTTGCTAGTGGTCAAAGGTTTGACTCTTTGTATACGGTAAGGGCATCCAATGGATATAGGACAAAGTCATGGACCAAGAGTCAAAGTCAAAAGGATAAAGAATTAAAAAGGGAATATCCAAAGACTAAGTATGAATCATTGGTGTGTATCATAGGATACCCTCAAGCCTCATGAGATGCCAAAAAGATCCTAGGACCACATGTGCAAAAGTCAAAGAGTGGAAGTTATCTTTTAAGGTAGCAACTACTACCTATAAGTAATGGATATTGGAAGTGAGAGATATCTTATTTCATACTCTCTTTGTCTGCAACCTTGCTGATGCTAAGTGTTCTGTCTTCAAAGTGCTTGTTTTTCAATAGGTTATGGATCCACTTATCTTTACTTGTGACTTTTGAAGTACTTTGAAGTCTTTCTTGTTGTGAGGAATAGATCTTATGGTTGATACTGAAGTTTGAATTTGCTCTCTTCTAACCCTTCTTATACATCTAGTTATTGATGTAGTTTTTACTTTTACTTATTGTTAAGTGCATTGATAGTCTTGGTTGATGTTAGATTCCATATAATGATGTTTTAGAATTTTAGTATTGAATTTCTTTGCTGAGTTTCATTATTGATGCTCTAACTTTGTGCTTTCAAATACTTAACTTCGCAAGAGATTCTCCTATTTGTTATAAGAAGTGTTTTGTGTGATTAGAAGCATTTTGTGAAAGAGGGGTGATTGAAGAGTGGCAATGCTTATGGTAGAGGTTTAGATAGAGTATAAGACTTGTAAGAAGTCTTATTTGTGAAGTTGAGAGTGATACAAGAGTGAAATCACTTATGTAATTACAAAGAGGGCATTCTGGGTTTCTAAGACAGCAACACCTTTTTGTTGATTTTGAGAGTTCTATCTTCTCTTTTCTTGATTTTCTTTCACACATCCCTTCCCTAGACATGGCTTCAAGTAAAGGTGAGAGCTTGAGAGTGATTGAAAAGTTTAGAGGTAACAAATTTTATCATTGGAAGAAGAAAATGGAGCTTTTGTTGGCTTCATTGGACCTTTGGGACATTGTTGATGAAAGTGAAGACCTTCCAAGTGACAATGCTGATATCAAAGTGAAGAAGAAGTACAAACGTTGTGAAAGGAAGGCTTTTGGGATGATTGCAACAAACCTTGATAATGCCAATTTTTCACATGTTATAGCTTGTAATGGACCAGCAGAAGCATGAAAGACTCTTTGCAACATCTATGAGAGTAGAAACCTTGTCAACATCCTTTTGACAAGGAAGAAGTTCTTGACAGTAAAGATGGAAGAAGGAGATGACCTCATGGCTCATGTTAACAAAGTAAAAGCACTTGCTAACTAATTAGCAGTTGTTGACAAACTAGTTGATAATAAGGACATTATATTGGCATTGTTCATGAGCCTTCCCGAATCCTACAACTACCTCATTGTGGCATTGGAGTCGATCAACATGAAGGAGCTTACCATGAACTATGTCACGTCAAGACTCGCCCATGAAGTGACCAAGAGGAAAGAAAATGAGCTTATAAGTGATGATTTGGCTCTATTTTCAAGACAAGGCAAAGATAGCTATTCTCACCAACATAATAATTTTAAAAGTAATATGAAGAATTGCTATATTTGTGGAAAACTAGATCATTTTGCTAGAAATTGCTACAAGGCCAAGAAAAGAGATAGAAAAAATACAAACAATGCAACTAATAGTTTTGGTGGAGCTGAGTATGCTTTCATAGCAAAGGAAGGAGCCTCCATGACTGCCATATCAAAGTGGATTATAGATTTAGATGCTAGTAAGCACATGACACTATACAAGTATTCATTTGACACTTATGAAGAAATTCCAGCAACAAAAATGTGGTTGGGAGACAATGGCATAGTACAAGCCATTGGAATTGGTTCCATTGTAGTGAAGATTGTTGTGAAGGACCAATTGAAGAGGATCAGATTGAAAGAAGTCCTACATGTGCCAAAAATGAAGAAGAACCTCCTTTCGGTGAGCAAACTTGTATCACATGGTTGTAAGGTTCAATTTGACATGAATGGATGTTTTGTCAAGACATTGGATGGCCAACATGTTGCCAAAGGCCTTAGAGATGGAAATCTCTACTTCATCAATTGCAAAAAGGTGAATGGAATTGAAGTCGTGGCATTTGCTGATTTTCCACAAGATCAAGACAAGTTTGAAATTTGGCATCAATGACTTCCTCATTTGAATGCCAAATGCATGAAGGAGCTCCAATCCATGGTAAGTGGCTTGGATCTTAGTCAATTCAGCCACAATGCCATGACATTTGCTTGTCAAGGATGTATACAAGGCAAACAACAAAGAGATTCATTTCCAAGTGGAGTTGCAATACGTGCAACAAAATTATTCGAGATTGTGCACTCTGATGTTTGTAGACCAATGAAGACACCATCAATTGGAGAAGGAAGGTACTTTGTCACATTCATAGATGATTTTTCAAGAGAGGTGTGGATTTACATCATTAAAGCTAAAAGTGAATGTTTCTCAAGGTTTAAGGAGTTTAAGGTTCTTGTAGAGAAACAATGTGAGTGCAAGATCAAAGTGTTGAGAACGGACAATAGAGGTGAATACATTTCAAAGCATTTTGATGAATTCATGAAGATTCAAGGTATTGCAAGACAAACCTCTACTCCTTACACTCTACAACAAAATGGAGTTGGTGAAAGTACAAATCGGACCATTGTAGAGATAGCAAGGAGTATGCTTCATACACAAAACCTTCGGCATGAATATTGGATGGAAGGTGTGATAAATGTGGTGTATACAAGGAATAGGTGCCTTACAAGTGCTCTTACATCAATGACTCCTCAAGAAGCTTGGAGTGCGAAGAAACCTTGTGTTTCATATATGAAGATTTTTGGATGCATTGCTAATGCAAAAGTACCAGATTTTATGAGGTCCAAACTTGATCTAAAAGATTCAAAATATGTATTTGTTGAATATTGTGAAGGTACTAAAGCATATAGGCTAATGTGTTTAGAAACCAAGAAGATCATCAAAAGTCGTGATGTAAGTTTTTGGAGTATAAGAGTATTTTTGAGCACTTGGGAGAGTGTTCAAGTGGGAGTGAAGGTGTGTTTGTGAACACAGCTTCAAGTTCAACAAAGAAAGAAGAAGAAGAAGATGATGATGAGAATGAGGATGGAGGAAATAGAAGTCAAGATCAAGTGCCAAAGAAGGTAAATCATAGTGTGCCTTCAATTGCTAGAACCAACAATGAAGACAACGAAGATATTGAAGGTGATGATCTTGATGAAGAATATCAATTTTTGAATGAGAAAAGACAAGCATTGAAGAAGAAGAAGGTTGAAAGAGAGGATGGAATGCAAGAAGAAAGGTCTTCTTCAAACGAAAAGAGATATCATTTGAGAAAAAGAAAACCACGTGGTGAATGGTAGAAGGACCACATCTTTCCTCAAGTAAGTGAAGAATATGCCAATGTTGCACTTCTTGCTGGTCCATTGAGTTTATGTGATGCCATAAAGTCCACGGATGTGTTAAAGTAAGAAAATGCCATGGAAGAAGAATACAAATCACTCATGGACAATGGAACATGGAAATTGATTCAACTTCCATCAAATCGAGCTTCAATTGGTTGTAAGTAGGTGTTTAGAACAAAGAGGGATGCAATGGATAATGTTATGAGGTATAAGGCAAGATTGATTACAAAAGGCTACTCACAAATTAATGGTATGGATTTCAATGAGACATTTGCTCTCGTGGCCAAATTCACCACCATTAGAACCATTGTGGCAATTGGAGCAGCAATGGACTTGGAGATACATCAAATAGATGTGAAGATGGCTTTCTTGAATGAAAGTTTGGAAGAAGACATCTACATGGAGCAACCTCAAGGATTTGTTGAAGAAGGCAAACAACACCTTGTATGTAAGTTGAAGAAATCCTTGTATGGGTTAAAGCAATCACCAAGGGCATGGTACCAACGTATTGATACATTCTTTATGAATGAAGGATTTGTAAGGAGTGAGGCTGATCATTCCTTATATGTAATGCAATCAAATAAGTTTATATTGATTGTCATCCTCTATATTGATGATTTGATCATCTTAACCAAT